CCCCATGTCAGATTTGCTTTAAATGCTTTGGTTTCAGAGATATGAGCAAAAAACTGCATTTTACCCTATGTACTATTTTTTAGCCATGTCGGCCATCTTGGTTCGCGGGCGGGGTCATCGGACATATTTTTTAAACTAGATACCCTAATAATGATTGTGGACAAGTTTGGTTAAATTTGTCTTAGTAGTTTCAGAGAAGAAGATTTTCGTAAAAGATTACAAAAATTCAAGATAATAACCAAAAACGGCAAAATTTCCTTAAAATTACCAATTCAGGGGCAGCAACCCAACAACGGGTTGTTCGATTCATCTGAAAATTTCAGGGCAGATAGATCTTGACCTGATAAACATTTTTATCCCATGTCAGATTTGCTCTAAATGCTTTGGTTTCAGAGATATAAGCCAAAATCTACATTTTACCCCTATGTTCTATTTTTAGCCATGGCGGCCATCTTGGTTGGTTTGGCTGGGTCACCGGACACATTTTTTTAAACTAGATACCCCAATGATGATTGTGGCCAAGTTTGGTCAAATTTGTCTTAGTAGTTTCAGAGGAGAAGATGTTTGTAAAAGTTAACGACGACGGACGACGCCGACGGACGACGACGACGGACGACGGACGACGGACGCCAAGTGATGAGAAAAGCTCATTTGACCCTTTGGGCCAGGTGAGCTAAAAATGATATTCCAAGTCTAAGATATTCATTTTATATCAATCAATATCTTAAAATACCACATTTCCAATACTAAATCAACAACCACATGCACACATATTACCTTAAATTGGGGAAGAGCGAAGCAGTCCACTGCTTTTTAGAAACTCAAACTTGTTTGTATTTGCGATTGGTCATAAGTTTTAAGAGAAAGTGGTGATTTCAATTTTAATCCATTTGAAAAATGTCAAAATTAGTACGTCTGAGGCTGTCAAACTAAAATAAAGAATCCTTTAACATTAAAATGTCCATATTTTGAGATAGCTCTGCTCAAGTTTCTATAACTCTTTTACAATTTGTCCAAAATGTAGCACACTACACCGTAAAACGCATGTAAAATTGTTTTAATTGCAGTTAACTGAGATGAATTTTCTGATCTTGGAATTCTCTTCATATTTTAGATACTGGTTTCACTGTGTAGCTTCACGACCGGATAAAGGTATTCCCCTCCCCAAAGCAAAAAAAAAAATGATAGCAAAAAAGTATCTATTCTATTCCCCGTACAGTAAAAAAACTATACGCCGTACAATTTATCCGCTTTCTAGTGAAAACAATAGTTTATTTCGCAATACAGTGTTGTTTAAGCTTAAATATGATTTATAACTTTGAATAATCGAACGATAATCCTGTTTTAACAAGTTTGAACTTGTTGCATGCTTCTGTCAACAGGTACCACCCCGTCCGATTCTTACGATTTAAAGAGAAAGGAAGCCAATTATCAAAACATCATATTCAGTTCTAAATATACTAGTCAACAAAAGTAACGACACACAAGTTTGATGATTGATTGATTGATTGTTGGATGCTTAACGTCCAATGGCAAATACTTCATGCATATTCAGGACGAGAACAAGTTAACAATAAGTACAATAGGTAGGTTCTGTAATAAGGGCTTACGGGAATAAGGTCGGAGAAATTTAGACTGCCACGGGAAATGAGGGTATATTGGATAGGGACAGAAATTTAGCCTTGCAACAGGTCACCTACAGACCCCTCAAAGAGTTGTTGCAAGGGTTCTTAACGTGCAAAAAGCGTGGCACTCTCTTTACACGAGGCATCGGATTTAACGTCCCCATTCTGACCGGACGTCACACAAGTTTGAACTCTAATTTATCATTAAATATAATAAATAAGAAAAACTGTTAAATTATTCAGTGAAAAACATTCAGTTGCAAAGCAAGTGCATATGAGTAAAAGAATCTGACCAAATTGGAAAGTGAGAAAATACCGTGTTATTGAACACAGGGGTCAGATTTATTTTGCGGAAAATGTTGACAAAAGTCGGCACTTTATTTCGAAGATGTGAATTAAGTATTCAAATATCTGCATAGGCATTCAAAATTTTAAGCAGACCATGTTTACGTTTAAAGTTTTAAGTTCTGATATCAATTTTGGAATTTTGGGTGAAAATACGATTTTTGAAATAACAAAAATTGCCAACAAAAAAATCGCGTATTTGCCTTAAATCAATGGTTTTGATAAGAAAATAACACTCTGTAAACATTAGACCCATTAGGCACTTATTTACCTTGGTACAGCGTATCTAATTTCATTATATATGGAAAATACATTGCCTTGTATCGTTTCTTTTGTTGACTAGTATAGTAGCTACATTATTAGGAATCAGTACCACAAAACTATACTTGTCAGTAAAACGTAGACTATAATGAAAATAAGAAGAATTTGACCTTACTTGACTTCATACTTGTTTTTTCCGCCGCTTCGGGGGTACCTATATCCGGGGTGATGCTACGCAGTGGGTTTTACCGTCTGATTAAATATGAAGAGCACTACAAAATTAATTGTAGTTTCGTGCTATTAGGGTTAATATGTATAACAATCAAATAAATATTAGACGCTAAGATGGTTTTGGTTTTTTTTCAATTTTAATTACACCTTTTATAGGTATCTTGGATTTTGATTGGTAGAGAGCTAGTTTATATTTCGTGCACTAGCATTTTCTTTGATCAGATGAACACTGTAGCACCACCACCGGATATAGGTACCCAAAGTGGTGGAAAAAACAAATTGTGAAGTCTGGTAAGGTCAAATTCTTCTTATTTTCATTATATTCTACGTTTTACTGACAAGTAAAGTTTTATTATGCTGATTCTTAATAATGTAGCTACTAATTAGGGTTACTCTGTTCAAAAAAGCATGCAACGATTTCAATCTGGTTAAAACACGTTTATCCTTCAACTATTCATTTGACGTTTTCGTTTATAACAAACTTAACATATCATATTTAAGCTTGAACAACACTGTATTCCGGAATAAACTATTGTTTTCACTATAAATTCATGTAAATAAAGCGGAGAAATAAAATAGATACTTTTTGTTATCATTGTTTCTTTGCTTCGGGGTACCTACATCCGGTGGTGATGCTACACAGTGATGAGTTTCGTAAAGATGAAACACCGTTCCGGTCAAAACTTTAAAACGCTGAACAAAAAATGCACACTTTGCAGCAAAAAAATAAAATGTCCGATTTTGAAAACACACAGCAGCTTGATTTTGAAATACACACTGTTAGCTAGATTTATAAATTCACACCTAGATTTGGAAAGAACACATCTTTTCAAATTACACAGCATAATTTAGAATATACAGCTAGATTTCAAAATCACACGGCTAGGTCTATTAGAATATTTAACAGATGCAACTAGATTTAAAACATACGCAACTTGAATATGAATTTTACCCAACTAAAATTCTTCCACGGCATTTACCACATCTCATTAATATTCATACAGAGCAAAGGAAGGCTGAACTACTGCTTCTATTTCATGTGTGTCCAGGTTTTCTGGTCAACTGACCCTACGTTAGTTGTGAGTTCGAGCACACGTGTGGCAGGTGCGTTCGACTCCAATCTTAATTGAATTAAAATTGTTAGTTTTCCTGCCGAACGATGGCGGTTCTCTCAGTTAGCCACTCCGGCTGCTTCCACCAAAAAACATGACAGCCACGAAATAGCCAACAGTGCTGAAAGTGGCATTAAACATCAACAATCAATCACTTTCACGTTGTAGCTCATTCCCGCGCATTTTTACTCAAAAGTCCGATGAGTTCCGAACGCCAGAAATAAAACGCGGTAGAAGTTCAGATACTGACTAAACAAGACAAGATTAATGAGATGCGCTAACTGAAGTCGCATGTTATCAAGATGTGTACTTTTCAAATATATTGGTGTGTCATAAATATACCTGTGTTGCTTATAAACTTAGTTGCCTGTTCTGCATCTAGCTTTGTATTTTTGAAATCTGTGTCTTTAAATTTCAACTCTAGCTGGATATTTTTAAATTTAGTTGTGTGTATGTGTTGTAGTCTCAGTATGTAGCTTTTGTTGAGTGCTCTAAACAGAATTTTGACGAGAACGGCGTGCCATAATTTCGTTCATGTTTTACCACTGCTGTGGTCACTCTGCTGTGGTCACAATAATATTAACAAGGATATTTCTGTTCTATCCTTTCCGTCGTAGTACTTGCCAGAAACGAATATGCTTTTTTACCCTTCAGGTTACACAGTGGCGGATCCAGAACTTTTCATAAGGGGACCCGCTGACTGACCTAAGGGGGGAGGGCCGCTCCAGTCATGCTTCAGTGATTCCCTATATAATCAACCAAATTTTTCCCACGAAAAGGGGGGGGCGGGCCCCCCTGCCCCATCCCCCTGGATCTGCCTATGCGGTAGATGTATGATCATGTTTGCGCTTTTTTAAATACGGCTTTTTTTTTAACGTCTGAATAACGGAGACTAATGGAAATAACTTTCAAATGTTTAACTTAACCATATCTATTGATAAGCGGTGTAGTTAAACAAATATATATGATGTTCAGGGTGTATTTGTAGAATATAAACGTCTTGGGAAGAAATTTCCTTCGCCAAGCGACTTTCATCTTCTCTCTTAAAAATCTTTCCTGTCATATATGATGTTCTGAACATCATATATACCTGTTCAAAGTCCATACCAACTACCGAAATGTGTGCAAAATAGATTATACAAAATCATATTCCTTATCGACCCTGCTGATATCAGTCAACCTTATATTGGACCTCATGCATCATCTTGGGACAATCCCGTGGTATGGACAAATACCTAAAAAAAATGTAACATCAATGATATGTAAAGGCTACATGAATGTGTCTGTAAAGAACAACAAGGCCGTCAAGAAGTTAACATCCTTACCTGCAAGTAACGAAGCGTAACTAATGAGCAAACAGACTTATTCGATTCAGTTGGTGTTACATTTCTGCTTCAATTAAGAGGTTTTCCCAATGTGATAGGAAAGTTTATTATAACAATGTTTATGAAATGGAACTTTTAAATTTTTCGGACTGAAGGTAAGGTTTGTTTGAATTTGAAAATATATGTATGAAAGGTGGTCTGTACCCAATTTAAAACACGTAATATCATTATGTTTTGGAAGTTCCTTGTGTGTCGCTTATAGTTATTTATTAGATAATTTATTCTTTGGAATTGAGGTTTAAGTATTCCTTACTCCATGAGTATTTCCTAGTGTAACTTGTCAATAGTTATGATCTACAGTTTAATACAAAGAAGTGTTTGTAGTTTGTAATTTGTATTCATAATGGAATTGTCAAGTTTCTATAATTACCACAATGATACTAACTTTAATTTATAATTGTTTTCACCTGGTAACTACTTCGTATATTAGGAAATTGGTAAATTCGTCATTTTCGTACAAATATTTGTCCAAGCAAAGCTATTTACACGTGTATCGTTCGGTGAGTTATGAAAATATCTAGTACTTTGTCAATCGCTTGATTTCAATTATCATATTCCACTTATTTATTTATTAATCATTTATTTACTCCGCATATATTTGTTGATCTAAAACTTTGTACTTCGGTTTTTTATGTAAACCAAACAATGAGCTACACAATGATACATGCATAGTTTTTTACATGATCATTAATAAATGTATAAATAGCGACAAATTTATGGACCTGCGGTCATCCTTTAATTATTAGATATATATTAGTAGTTATTTATATACTTTAAATGTAATGATGTTTAATAATTGATAATTAAGCATGTACTTTAAACATCTCATAAACATGTTTAACCCCGCCGCATTTTTGCGCCTGTCCCAAGTCAGGAGCCTCTAGCCTTTGTTAGTCTTGTATTATTTTTAATTTTAGTTTCTTGTGTACAATTTGGAGATTAGTATGGCGTTCATTATCACTGAACTAGTATATATATTTGTTTAGGGGCCAGCTGAAGGACGCCTCCGGGTGCGGGAATTTCTCGCTGCATTGAAGACCTGTTGGTGACCTTCTGCTGTTGTCTGTTCTATGGTCGGGTTGTTGTCTCTTTGACACATTCCCCATTTCCATTTTCAATTTTTCTTTAAATGTGTTGAATTTTCTGGAGAAATTTTAGATCAGCAAATATATGCAGTAATATTTTGGTCTTCATTGACATTTATCATTGACATTAGTTATAACATTATTTTCATTTTTTTTTTAAATTATACTGTATTGTTAACCCGAATAGTTCAGTCATTATATTCCGCTAGTCTCCGGTGACATTAACGCGAGTGGGGGGAGTCGATCACGGAGAGAGAGATAATTATTCGGGTTACTGTTTTGTCTAATAAATTAGAGTAAACCGGATATCCTTGTCGCATGCCAAACATTACAGTATTAATGTCCACATGCTTTAATAGCGGTATTATTATAAATTATCATAAATTTCTTAGTTTTCGTTCCAATTAAGACCAAAAATATTTTAATTAACTTCACTGTGTCAAATAGAAATGTTAAGTAGGTAAATGAGATTGAGTCGAACAATTTCTCCTGAAAATATTTGTATCTACTTAGGAACTGGCCTTTCAAATGTGTGTGTCTGTATGGATGAGCTTTTTCTCTGGACAAACACATTTTTTTACTTAAATCATAAATGAACTCCATTTTTTCCCCTTCATTTTCAAAGGAAACACTCTATGTTTTCGCGTCTCTTCTGTAACAAATTATTTTTTAAAGAAATTTAGAATAAACAAAACTATCTAAAAAAATATCCCCCACACCCTACAAAAGATGAGTAGTCAGTGCCTTAGATAAAACGACCACATGGTCTATGGCAGTGCTAAGTTGCATGATCAGCTGATGATCCAAATTATACGAATCTCATATACGCCACATGTTGTTTCACTGTTCAGTTCTAATGGATTTTACCAGTAACCAATAAATGTGCTTATTACAACCACTACACCAATTGTTTTAGTATTTAAATGTAGCAGATATATCAGAAATATCTTGGTAATTCCTGAAAGAAAGATTTATTTAAAACGTTACTCCTATGATAAGCTGTTATTTTACCAAAGCATGGCTCATCGCTGTCACCGTTCATTCAGATTATTGTTTTGGACAATCTATAATATAAATCGACTATAGAAGACAAAATATATTAAAAGTACTTATAGAAGTATGAATGCAATATTCTTTTTACATGAATTATATTTCGAAAAAAAAAATTGCAAGCTATATTGCACTGAAATTGGACATATTGTATTATTCATATTTTAACTCATATCTCAATAAGATGGGTCAATCAATGTTTTTATGCATGTCGAATGACAATAGGTTGAAATGACATGAAATGATTGAAGATATGTATTCTTCGTGTAACATTGACACATATAATTATTGTACATGCTTTAAAATGATTGACTGCTAATATTTCACGTCAAATGAAAATAATATATTCATGTTAGGAACAGGCTCATACCACATCTTCTTATATCTATCATAGTTTGGGTTTTTTTAACGAAAATTGATTCTAATTGAAAAATTCCCTAAATTGCCTAGCTTCTAATTGAAATCTTATCAATTATAATAGATTTCCCATGTTGACTGTATTCCAGTTGACATAATTGTTTGTGATAGATGAAAAGCTCATTGACTATAACCTAAACCGAGTTAGAGTAGATACGGTTAGCCCCCATTGCCACCTTTTTTCTTTTGTCAAATAATCTTCCTAAGAGTTGTATATCTTTATTCTCATAACGTCAATGCATAACATCGGTACAGAGATAACATTAACAATAACTATTTACAAAATATACAAAACAAGCGAAAAAGAGATTAAAAAAGTCACTAGCCAGGAAGACAAACACAAGCATTTATATTTGTTGTAAATGATCAAAGCTTCTTCATGACTGGTTTTCGTGTACTCGACAGAAGTTGAGAAAATCCTGCAGGGGTTTGTTGTAATCATGGTATTCTAGCAGGTGTAGCCATCTTATTCGCGAATTAAAAGGGGACAATGCTCGATCCCGCTTAACCACTCCACAACCTTTTGGAATGTTCAATTATCATTCTTTTATCAGTCTTTGATGATTTAATTCATAGTTATTCAACACGTGCTTAGTCTGATGCTCATTTCTTCTTTGCATTAAACTCAATTAAACATAAAAGAAGAATGTGTCCCCGATCAAGCGTTGTAATTTCCCAAGACAAAAAGGGACATAATTTTAGAACGATTAATGACTCACTGCCCAAATTCAAACGCTGTCTTTTTGTTGTGGTTATTAGCATTGTGTATGAGTTTTATAAAATTTGGATGAGGCAAACTCAAGTTAAAGTGCGGAAACGAAAATTGGACGGACAGACGGAAGGACGGTCAAGGGTAACGTTTAATAAACTGAAATATAATCTGAAATGAGGTTTTACCCAAAGAAAACGAGAATACTGTTTTTACTACCACTAACATATAAGGGCGAATTGCATTTGATCTGAAATGTTGCCTTTAATCGGGTCAGTTGCGAACCTTTTCAAAGAGTTGTTGCAAGGGTTCATTAACGTGAAAATTATCACTACGCGTGATTGGACTGAAGGTTCCAAAATTAGGGTCGAACATGATTGGAAAGTAACAAACCTCGCGCAGAAAACTGATGTCCCTCCCCACCCCTTTGTTACTGTAAGATGCCATAGGTTGATGAATTCCATAAGTCCTGATCGTAGAATTTTTATACCCTAGCTACCCTTCAGGTCATACCATTTGAAATTGGCTCATATACATCAATATGTATATTTTAGTAAATCAGCCACGTGTAGGCAAAACAATCGGTTTCAGGATAAATGAAACACGATTATTACATGGCTAGTAAATTTACTTAATTAATATTGTTATAACTTGGTAAACTAATTTATAACACTGTATCTCTTTACCGGAATATTGAAATTGTCAAAAACATAATAATCTAATTAAATATTTATTAACTGCTATGTTAATAATCAAAACTACACAATTATTATGACGTTCTTGTCTAACCATGCACAAAAGTATCATAATCAGTCTTGTTAGTTCGTTGTTTGGCTTTTGTAAGTAATTATTTAAAATGTTGATCTCATTGTACCATGTTTTCATCTGTCATAAGAAATTTTTAACGTTGTACCGGATTTAGACAATACCACAACTTTTCTCATTAATAAGTACATTGTTATTGCTCTGGAAGGCTCATTTAATTTTGGGATATTGGTAAGATTGTACGGATTATTGCATGCCTTTCAGCTGTATACGTGAGTATATCTAACATATGCTTTACTTTTTGACGTGTAATAACTTTCAAATTGTTACTTTCAAACGATTGATATATATTTTCCAATGCAATTAGGAATTTCGTCTGTTTTTTTGATTTGTTTAGGTTTTTTTTCTTCTCAAATGCACAATTTTACTTTTTTTTTAATTGATGTTCATACAATTATCTCTGCACAATAAACCAATATCACACTCATATAATTTCCAGAACGAAACTAGATCATTTATATAGTGATTATATAGCATAGGTGATAATGGACATCCTTGTTTATGACCACTGTTGACATTGAACGATTCTGATTGATGACCGTTTAGTTGTACTGGACATAAACATTTGTGTAAATAGATTGTATAGCACAAAAATGATCTGCAACATCAAGCCCATATATCTTTAACAACAATATATTTCTATTTATGGTATCATAGGCCTTTTTAAAATCAAAACAAGAACAAAAAGTAGATTTACGAAGCTTTTTCTGACATCAGTTATGTTGTATACTTGTGCTTCGATTTTGACGGAAACCATACTGCTCGTCTGCTAATATGTTATTGTCATCTACCCATTGCGTTAGCCTTTTGTTTAAAATATTACAATAAAGCTTATACGAAACACAGGCTAAAGCAATACCTCTGTAAGGCAAGGGGTCACACAAATCTGCCATGTTTACTTTAGGTATGGGATCATAATAATATTAATTTAGTTCCTTAAATCCGATGTCCTTTGGAACCTAAAGCAAAAATCAATAAGTCGTATTCAGCAAACGAAATTGGTTACGTC